CGGGGTTCTGCTGGCCTGTAGTTTTGCTTGCTGGAGGTCACTACAGATGAGGCGTTCGAATCAAGTGTTTTCGCGCACACAGACAGAGATCTAACAAAAGGACAGCGATGGATAAATTGCCTTACCTGCCCAGACTTCATTGGTTGATGGAAACCGGATACAGAACCTTGAAAGGATCATTCGGATTGATATTATGGCCCTTGTTAATCAAGAGCAACGCATCTTTTTCGGTTTCATTATGTTGAATTTCGTGATGCACAGGGTAGATGTAGTGTCAGCGCCAATCTAGGAAGCAATGAACAGCTGTTTCAATTTGGTTCGGCCTCATCAGTAGTGCCACTCTGTCGACCCAACTGAGGATCGGACTCGGGACATCAAACACAAAACGCATGCATAGTAGCCACCCAACACCAAGTAGTCGATCACACAGTTTTTCACGTTTACCCATACTCGATATAGTACAACCCCATCTGTATGAACTTGTTGCGGGTCTAACGCCTCACGCATCTCAGTACCAACAATTCAGAGTTACGAGGCGGTTGGAAACATTCCGAACCTGACTACTTGCTGCATGAGTGTGGTCCAGTATTTGATTTGATTTCCCGGTAAAATTCGCAGTGTACAGAGAGAATCTTGTGGGAAAGTGAGAGCCAACAGGTATTTCTGGACGTCATCGTCAATAATAAAGTTTGCTTCGTTGATCGGATCCAAATGTTGAACTTAACTGTACTTTGAATGTGCTCTACATGAATGTGCTTAAAATTGCGAAATTCTGTTGAATGAGAGTTCGTTTAAAGTTTGCTTTTGAAAGTTGTAAATTTTTGAACTCCTAAGGCTAATCGACTGAATCATACGACGCTGGTTATTTGATGCCTTGTTGTCTTTTAATGAGTTTGCACTCGGTAATCTGCGGTGGCAAACTTTGGGCAGCAATTGCATACCACAAGATTTTTTCCCTTGTTCTATAATACGAGTCCGACAAGCACTAAGACTCAATCGAGCCCGATCTATCAGATGTCTCGAGACGGTCACTCAACTAGCACGATACCTGATCTATCGCCACAGGTCTTTCTAATGTCCAGTGAACATTGATTGTGCACAGTATGGGTACTATCAACACATGAATAAACAACAACAAGAGTTCCACAAACTGCTCGGTCTCTTGTTAGGATGAGGTAGACAGACGGCGATGTGAAACGACCAAGCATCCGTACTGTAAAAGGCGCTTTCCCGTACATGCTTAGCTGATGCAACGACTAGTGGTGTTTTACGAGCATAATTTGTATTTTATAAGTGTCCCTGTTCGAGTTTTTTAATCATTCTCCTTCATGTTGATTTTTACTCCGATTGTGCGTTCACACAACTGATACGATTACGACGAAATAGTTGAATTCATCGCATCCTGTGATCAGGTCGAATCCTTTGTTCACATAAACATACAGAAAGTAAATTATGAACGTGGTCTTGTTCGGACTCTATTCAACAGAACGAGACGGATCTGCACGGAGGACAAAATTGAACAAGAACTAAAAAACCTTCGGGAGATATT